GATAAAGATTTAAATTTTTCGTTTCGTTATTCTCAAATTAGTTATTTATTTTTAGTAAATTGATATAGCTGACATCAGTGTTGCGATTTAAAAGACACCTGTAGTAGAATCTGGAAAAAATATGATAGATTTCATTTTTAAGATAGTTTATCATTTCATTTTATAAGTACATATTACGAAACCGAAAATATATGAGTACTTAAACCCAGAAGATAATTTAGGTAGGCCTTCGTAAGTAAAGCCATTCTAAGAGGCCTACCCAAGAAGCGCTGAAAAAAGTGCTTCCTTGCATGCCTTCTAGAAGGGCTTATCCATTTGCAATTTACGCGAATGCATAATTTATATTATTTAGCATTACCAATAAGGTTCAATAAACATTTTATGTTGCAATAACACATATTTGATATAAACCTTAAGAAAATACTTCAAAGATGTATGATTTTTATAAATTAAAGAAGCAACTTTAAAAGAACTCCTCCAAAAGGCCTTTCCATGGGTAGCGCAAGAAGAAGCCCTTCAAGTTGTGCCACTCCATACAAAAAAGAAAGGAGAAACGAATGTAGCGTGGAAGGCCTTTTGACTCTCAGGAAGGCTTTCCGGAGGGGATTTTAACTGCTGAAATTATCTACTGGGAAGTGTCGGACAAACTAATATGGTCGCAATATTTTGTCAAGTTTTGACTGACTTTTTCTTCTGTTTGTTTAATGTTAATCTATATATTTTTTTTTTTTATAAAAGAATTAAAAATAAAGAAAATTATAACGGAGAAAAATAAAACTACTCAAAACGCTTAAACAAGTGGTAGATCTACCACAATGTGGTAGAAGTCTGAGCACTGGCTGGCAGCCGTAATGTTTAATTGCAAGATTAATCATAAATAAATACGAAAGTGGACAGAAAACTAAACTTCGTTTTTATATTCTTTTCTATATGTATCAATTCAGATTCCACGACCTATATTCCTATGTACATATATATATATTCGTATTATTTCCTACTTATTCAATGATTTAATTTACACAGTAACTACCATAACCAGCGTAGAAGAACTGGAGGCGCGTATGCGTGGAACGAATTCCGGTAACGGAATTTCTACTGATCCTACAGTTACACGCAATGAAACCCCAATCAATAAGCCACAAGGGAGGCCACGTGACATAATTCTTCCTATCCCAAACGAGCAATGCATTGCCGGGCAACCTCAAGCAGGAGAGATAGAAGCTTTCAAAAAGTTATTAGAACAACTTGGATCTGGAAACAAACACCATGCACAGCCTCAGCAGCATTTATTACCAACCAATTTGCAACTGAATGTGTTGCTTCCGCCCCAAAACCATACCAGTCCGCTACCTACGGTGAATATAATACAGCCCGGTACTGTGATGGCACAGCATATGGTTATTAAGAATGATGAGTTAAAAAAAATAATGCACCCACAATCAGCTTTTCACCAACATAACCAAAACAATGGAGATATGAGCAATGTATCGCAACCACAACTCTCGACTTTATCCATTCTGTTCGGGAATCAACCTCAGAAGCATGCGGAGGCAAGGCATCTCTATCAGTGCATAACGCGTGGCGAAGTGTCAATTCATTTCTTGGAGCAAGAACTGAACAATCCAAATGCATCACCACATGCAAAAGAAGTAATTGCTGCAGTTTTGCGTGAAATGAATACCGGAGTGGTTTCCATTTCTAATGCCCCACAAAACCATGCAATACCAGGGCCTATTGGAACACAGCCGGATCATTCTCCATTGCAACTATGTAGCAGTAACGGCACACCCATTTCCAATCAAGCTCTAACAAATTCATCAACCGAACCATTGCAACATCAGCTTTCACAGCAAATTTCAACTTCTAATGTTATTCTTTGTGGTCAAACCGAGCGTATTTCGCTTTTACCTTCACATCAACTACCGTTAAACCCTCAAGTTATGCCGAGCCAACGAGAATTGCAATTTCACACGCAAACAATAATGCAGAATGCCATGCTGAAAAAGAAAATTGAGGAACAGCAGCAGCAGCAGCAGCAGCAACAAGATTCGCTAAGGAGGCGTCCAGAAATTCAGAAGCAACCGCAGCCAAATATGTTGTCCGTATTAAATGAACTGGATATACCACAAAAGAATGTGCAACAAGTTCCAAACTCTAATAGCATGCAACAGCAACAAATAGCGGGCACACAGCAACATACTCATATTTCGCATGCTATGCAACAACAGCATCAACAATCACGGCATATTCACTCGCCGACGCCGTTGGCATTCACGCCGACATCAGTTCTTCGCAAGATGACTGCCGAAAAAGATAATGCAAACACAACAACAACTCACAGTACGGTCAATACTGTATTACAACAGCAAAATAAATGTCTAGCACAAAATAGTTTTATAAATTGTCAAACTACGCAGCAGATGCAACAACAGCAACCGATTACCACACACCCACGAATGATACTTGGTGGTACTAATTCCTCACAGCAACATCAGCAAATGAGTGTCGTCAATAATCAGTTGCCTACACAATCTACAGCTCAAGCTGCTCAACAGCAATCAATGCAATCTTCTCGAAACACATTGGTGCCAATGAAATGGCCCTTGCATTTGGTAAATCAAAATATGACGGCTATCAAACCAATGGGTAAGTCCACTATTATTGAAGAATGCCGCTCTTTTCAAATTCTTTTTTAGTATTTTAATTGACCACAATACCGAATTTCAGCATTCGTTTTCTATTGTGGATTAAGAATAAACGAAACTAACAACGTTAGCAGCCACCGTAGCCGAGGGGTTAGAGCTATGTCCTACGACTCAACAGGACGTAGGTTCAACCCTGGCAATGTCAAAAAGTATAGCTTTCTTATATAACTTTTTTTTTTACAATTTCATTCTTATATCTATACTACCGAATTTCAGCAATAATTTTCTATTGTGAATAGACAATAAACGAAACTAACAACATTAGCAGCCACCGTAACCGAGGGGCTAGAGCTATGTCCTACGACACAGCAGAACGTAGGTTCAACCCTGACAATGTCAAAAAGTATAGCTTTTTTATATAACTTTTCTTTAAATTTTATTCTTATATTTTATCGCCGCCTCCAACAGGCGGTAGGTAATTCTAAGTTCTACCGAGTGGTAATACGCAAATCTAACACTCGGGTATGGCGGGTATATTGTTTAATACTAGCAAATGTCCGGCGTGATTCGCGATGCCTCAAAAGTACTTTTGCAGGGAATCAACTGGAGCGACGGTCCTTGGCCAGATATATGTAGATTTGGATTGTGAGAACGCAAAAGTCCTCGCTGTTGGCTAATTGAGGTATGATCACATAAATATTGTTAAAGGGGGTCATTGACATACCTATCTTGTCCTTTCTGGGAAGAATCTGGTTAAATCTTTCCTTGGTTATTCGTTTCTTAGGCAATTCATTAAAATACCCAAGTATAATACGTCAACGACTTTATTCTGCGTGTTAATGTATTCTTATTTTCTCTTTCCATTTGCAACATGATCCCGAATGAAATGATGCTTAATGTCACCGTTTACTTTCTGTATTCTCCACCAATTCAATGAGCTAAAAATCTGCATACTCCAAATATCGCTAAGAAATCAAAATTAATAAGATAGACATTTTTACGAAAGTTTGTTGAAATTATTCTTTAAATATTGCACAAAGTTCAAAACTTGGATTTTCACGACTTTTGTTAAGAAATTAACTATATTTTTATAAAAACAAAAAAACAAATTAAATAACACAAAAATAACATGTTAAAACTTGTAAATATGTGGTGTGGCAATAATTTTTTCGACCACTGTATGCATACATTCATAGTAATGATTTTCTGAATGGGTGGCAACCCTAATAACAAGTTGTTTCAAACTAAAGCTTACATAAAACTCCTTCGTTTGAGAGTCATATTTAAAGAAATCATATCCATATCTTTCATTTTTAATACAGGTGTCAACCCTTTTCAAAATTGTTTGCAAACTAAAACCTTCGTAACCCTCTAATGCGGTCTTTGATAAAACTATGATATGCGTTACATATTTTAATATTTAAATTCTACTTAAATGTAATCTTAGTAGGTGATATTCGTTCTTTTCAAAAATGTACTCGCCACTTCGACCGTACGTATAACTTTGTAACGAAAACAAGTTGAAATAGAAACTTCGTTGAAAGTGGTCAGAAAATTCGTGTGTGAATGTTTTTATGTTTCAAAAAATCTGATCGTCAAAGTGAGCTAAAAAAATTATGTGGAGAAGCTTTTATTATTAACTGTACAATTTCAGTATTTGTAGGTTCAAAAAAATATAGTAAGCCAGTGCAGTGACTCAAGGTACGAGGTGCAGTACAGTGAAAAATTTATTATGGCGGTTCTTCAGTTTTGAATTTTATTCGTTTTAGTTTTGTAAAGTTATTTCAAGTGCATTTGCATATGAATGAGTTGGAATGTAACAATAATTATGGCAACGCGAAGAGGTTCTTCGCGTTCGTTTTAAGTAAGTGAAAGCACTCGCGTTCTGGTTAAAACGTTATAAATGTTTTATTTGACAATTAAATTATGGTTAAGTACATATATAGGTTAATTACGTCCGGGATATGATTCTGTGGTGGCCGTTTTCCTGTGTGCGCGCGTTGACTGTTGAATTTGGAATGTTTTACTTTTCTCCACTTTCTTTTTGCAGTACCAAGAAAGTTGAAAAGCAGAGAAGATGTTAGGGTGCTCCTTCATTACAATCGGTTGATTGTACACTGCCCCCCCCCCTACCCCCCTGCAAGGGCGTGCTGAATAGTGCGGTCTGCAGTGTATTCTACGCCATAATATTGAGTGTGTGGCGGTTTGGCGTGTATGCATTTGCGTATCATATTATTTTAGAATGTGGCGCTAACATTAGGCTTCGTGTTGCTGTCGTTTCCAATTATGGCCTTTCCTTGAGATGTCGTCCTGAAAAGGAAGAAAGCGAACGATTATGCAGAGGGCGTGCTCTATATGCATTTTATCTTGGTGTTGGGCGTATAAATATAAATATTTGTGTATTTTTGTAGTGTGCTTATGGTTTTGAAGGAGAGGGGTTTAATTTATTGCTCTTTGGTTTTAAAGTTTTGCGTTTTGTTTGTGCTCATGGGCTAGAGCTTATGGCGTTAAGGTCTTATTTATTGCGCTCTATTTTCATAGTTTTGCGGCGGAACCGCTTATCACCCAACCAAATATTGTTTCTTGTGCTATTACATTATCTTGTATTTTTCGGGCTCCGGGTTGGAGAATTTGTGGGAGTATGTCGCTTCCAATGACCAGATCTATGGGTGCTGGTTTGCAGAAATGGGGGTCAGCTAGTTCATGGGCATTGAATTCTTTGATAAATTCAGGACTTACGTGGGAAGTCGCTAAGTGCCCCGTTAATTGCTTGAGTATGACAGCTTTGGTAGTTATCTTCCACTTTGCCTTGCGGGGAGTTATATTTAGCGCACATGCGTTCTTAGTGCGTCTTAAGTTACATCCACCAATTGTAAATACTTCGGTTGGGAGCTTCAACCTCTTTTGAGCTGCTGACGAAATAAAGGTTCGTTGGGACCCTTGGTCAAGCAATGCTCTGAGTTGAAACTGTTCTCCTCGATGCTCTATTGTCACTATTGCAGTTGGGAGGAGAACTTCACTTTCATTGGCAATTCGGAGCGAATTAACATGCGCGGAGTTTGAGCAGGTGGGTTGCTTATCCGACTTGTAGCTTGATAACTCTTGGGGGGCAATCTTTGGTGATCGCGTGCGCTATGCTGTGTTGCGCTATTATTTTTTGAGTTTGCGTATTGGTTGGGTGGTGATCATAGGGGATCACTTGCTCTTTATTTTGTGGGGCTGTGGTCTTTTGGATGTGACCACAGCTTTCTTTTATTTGTCGATCGGGGTTGATCGATTTCTTAAGAATTTCTTTTATACCAGCTTTGGAGAATGACCTCTGGATGTGTGTACATGTTATGTCTTTTCTGACAATACACACATGCAAATTGTGAGTTGCATTTTGCCAAACTATGATTGAAAGCAAGGCAGTTGGAACACAACTTATGGGGTGTCGCATAAATAACAGGAAAACACCGTATTGGAATTTGTATGAAAAGCTTTTATTTTACTTTGGGTTTTTTGGTTAGAGCAGAAGTCTTGCTTACGTGTTTTGGGAATTTCATTTCTACCCTTTCTAACACTTGAAATCTGGACGTTAGGAATTCGTCCATTTGAGACCATGAGGGAAGGTCTTTTCTAGAGGGCAGTGATTGCTCCCAAAATGTCCGGGTTTCTCTGGGCAATTTGGATACGCAAATGTGTACGAGGTTGGGGTCCCAACTGTCTGTCAAAACCTTGTGGACATTTAAAATGGACAGACATGTTTTTATTTTGCTTTTAGATTAATGATCTGTTCACTATTTTCTTCGTGAACACTAGGCAGATTCATTAAAACTTGGATTTGGTTATCCACTAATATGCGTTTATTGTCATAACGTTCGCTTAATGCTTGCCATGCCAGATCAAAATTCTCGTCGCTAAGAGGGAACTGCTTGACGATTTGACCGGCTAACCCTTTTGTTTTATACCGGAGGTGGTATAATTTCTGAGTGGATGATAATTGGGGGTGGTTTATGTAGACGGCTGTAAACATATCTCGGAAAGATTGCCATTCTTCATAACCACCGTGGAAAATCTCGGTATCACATGGCGGGAGATGCAGATGCATGTGAGGATTTTCCTCTATGTGTGAATTCTGTGCTTCTCGGGAGTGAGAGCTTGGGGGACTTATAGCTCGGATCAATTTGAGTTGAACTAAGATCTTCGCTTTAGTCATTTCATAAGTATCAATACTAAATTGATACTTGCCTTCCGCCAACGCCAAAAAATTATCTGGAAGGTCTTCATCATCCTTTAAAAAAAGTGAGTCATATGCGGCTTGTAACCGTGCCCAGAGATTGTCAATAGTTTTTTCTTTTATTTCGAGGGCCGACTCTGTGAATCCCTCTATGGGAGAAGAGGTGAGTCTGGCACAATATCTCATGAAGCCATCATTTTCAATGTTAAATTTTTGCGCACGCGGGTCATGAGATTTTCCTCTTTCTGAGCTCTTTGCTTCGGTAGAAGTCTGAAGTTTTTCCACTGTTTTCGAGGAAGTTGCTTTCCTTGGAATTTTGGAAATAAGTTTGGGGCTTTGTTCAGTTGGCATTTTAATACTTAATTTTTTAGTATGTGAAGGAGGCTCTTGGTTGCGCAATTTGTTGCTAATTGGGTGTTTTTGTGGACTGTATGTATTTATATGTATGTATATATGTGACCAGTGAACTTTACTACTGGGTTTTAATTTTTATTCTATATGTGTGTTAATATATATGTATTCTTTTAAAAGTGGTTCGAGAGTGTTCGTTTTTGTCAATATATATTTTTTAGGAATGGTAAACTCGCTGTTGGGTTATTACCACCAAATTTACTACTGGGCTCACTTGCTTAATATGTGTATGCATATATATAGATATGTATGTATGTACATATGTAGAAAGGCAGCGCAATTGTTTCGCTGCGTTTTGAAAATGCATACGTTAGTGAGTATGGTTATATATGCGAACAATTATGTGAAAACTTCCGAAAAACTAAGTCCTT